TTGGGTAACTGCGCATTGTCTGGGTCATAATAAACCACCTCCCATGCAGTTGATTCCCTCAGGTACTGGATACCTCTCTCCATGGCCGTCCGCTTGCCTGGCTCATATACAACATCTTCACTGAAGGAATACCTTTCCCTCACACCTGACAGAAGTCACCTCCAGAGGCTGAGGGCTTGTATCTTTTTCCCAATTGCCGTGTTGATGCCCCCTTCCCTAGACAGATATCCCAGCTGCTTGGCCTCCCTGCCCTCTAATTCCAGGCTACTGGCCCTGTTATCCCAGCATTGGAGCAGCCAGGTAATGATGTGCTCACCTGGAAGGTGGCTGAAACCTCTCCTATCGTGCGGCTCACTCGGGAACAGGGGTTGGGTGATGACCTCTGGTTCTCCCTCTTCCTTCTGTTCTCATGATGGTTCTGATTCATCATCATCCCTCACTAAGTGAACTGATATTGTGTATTTCTTCTTCTGTACAGGGACAACTGATACCAGCACAGGTTGGTTCTCTGGTTCAGCTGCAGTGCCTGTCACGGGGGTTGGGGTATCCACAGTGCCGGTCACTCTGTTCTCCCTCTCTTCCCCCTGAGGGTTCTGCCCAATACTGAGCAGTGTTTGGTAGATACTGGCCAGGGCCCAGCGCTGTGCCGTAAGGTGTGACTCTACAGTGCAGTAAGTTGTGCCTCTTTGGAATAGCCACAGCATTTTACTTTCACATATTCTGTCAGGGTCCTGTAGTTGTTTGGAGGTGAGAGGTTCTCTGGATACTTACCCATATTCTCCCACATGCCATGTCACCCATGACTATCCAGCGTCGGGGCAGATCTCTGGGTGGTATTCTTAAAACAAATTTTTTGTAACCCTAAACAAGACCTGGAACACATTCAGGAGACAGCAGTAAGACCATGCTGGCTTGAACATCCCAATGATGTTTAAAATTCTCAAAAGCTGTTGTAACCAGCCTGAAGGAAAAAGGGAAGGAGAAAGAGTAGGAGAAAGTATCCCCCCCGGTCTTCCCCATAGATTGGGTGCAATTATTAATTAATTCCAAGAGATGTTGTCTGAGGTACGAACATGACAGTAAAACCACATGCAAATACCAGCTTAACCTCATGACCGGTGATGATGTTATACCATAAGTCGGTATCACGCAGTACAGCAAAATGAGAATCCTGAATGAGAATACCCTCTCCCAGAGGTGGTAAACAGTGCTGCAGGGATTACATACAGTAAGGATTTACATACCGTCCATGTGAACAAACAAACCACCATTGTGACCAGTGACTATTTAGCTAACGTAATAAATGCCTATAACAAATTTGTTGTAACACTCCCTGTTTAGATCTGTCATCTCAATCTTTTGGGCCCCACATTGGGCACCAGAAAGGACTGTTGTGGTTCAGCCTCAGCTGTGGCTGAGCACCACACAGCCACTCGCTCACTCTGCGCTGCCTCCCGGTGGGATGGGGAGGAGAATGAGAAGGAAAAGGTAAAACTCATGGATTGGGAAAATGGCAGTTTACTGGGACAGCAAAGGGAGAGGAAAATAACAACAACAATACTAATAAAAGAATATACAAAGTGGGTGATACACAGTGCAATTTGCTTGCTGCCCAGAACCCAATGCCTGTCCGGAAGCAGCAACCGCTCCTTCCTGGCCAGCCCTCTGTCCCTCATCCCCCCCCAATATACGGAGCATGACTCATATGGTATGGAATACCCCTTTGGCTAGTTTGGGTCAGCTGTCCTGGCTGTGTCCCCTCCCAGCTTCTTGTGAAAATTAACTCTATCTTAGCTGAAAACAAGGACATCAAGAAAGGTGGACCTCTGGTTAAGATTTGCAAGGGCAACAAAAGAAAATATTGCACAGAACATCAGGCACCTGCTTCCTATTGAGAAAAATTTTGGGCAGGTGACTCATCGTATTCTTAGATTTCTTATTAAAATCCCAGTCTTTGTTTCTAGCATTTGTTATGATCAGCTCTGGAAGCTGCAGAACTCAGTTTAGCATATCTAGAAGAACAGGAATGTCAATTGGTGTTTTCTGCTGTTTCTGAAGTTGTGACAGCTTTCCAGCTTTTGTTTTGGGATAATATGAACAGTAAGGACAACCTGAAGCCAGTGATAGACAAAAAGTCTATATGAGGTAAAACATTCCATACACAGCACAATATGCCCTCCCATTAACAACAATTACAGTAATTTTTTTTCCACTGTTTCAACAGGCACTCTTTTTAGTATTTTAATTCACGTGCATACATAACAGAATGATTTAACTTTGCCTTCCCTAGTGAATGGGAGCATTGGCTGTACTAATTCCTGTGTTCTTTATTTCAGTATAGACTGATACATAGCTGTATTATCGAGAATCCTCATATCTGCACCTAACAATTCCTTATGTCTTGTGCTGATTTTTATTAACCCCTGAGAAAGTGCTTATTCCTTCTGCTGATGTAGGTGATTCACAAACACTTTCTTTAACCTACAGTTTACTGACCTGTATAATGTGTAACATCTTCTCATCTGGCAGCTTTGCCTTGCTATTTTGGAACTGGCATTCCTTAGAGTATAAATGGTTTAAGAGAAAACAAGGGACCCTGTCCTTTAATCTTTAGCCTTCTCTTGTGTATTTGAGAGGTGATATTTACCATGCAGTCAGATAATACTTGTTGCTTAGATGTGTAATTTCATGTTTTGAAGTTAGTTTTATGTCATTTTAAGTAAATTCCTTCTAACTATTTCCCCTGTACACAGGTGTATGTCATGCAAATGACCAGTACATTGAACAGTTCGAAGATACTCTGAATACCTCGGTGCCAAAGACAATAGCTGGATTTATCGCTGAACCAATTCAAGTAGGTGGTTTGCCATTTCTCAGTTGTAATAGCACAAATAGTGTGAAACACTCAAATCTGATAATTTTAACTACATCCTAAACATTGACTTCTGCTGATTTTTATATTTTAATGCCTTAAACACCTTAAATATTTGAAAAATGGATGCACTGTCTTAAAATTTCACTTTTTTCACTGATTTCAGTGGAGCTAGAATTTTGCTCATGAAGTTAAATTAAGCAGAGAATCATGATTAAACATACACATTCTTTCTGCATTTAAATAGCGAGTATGATGGATGCTATTGTTTAGTTTCTAATGCCTTCTTCCGAATTTCATACTGCTTTTCTCTTTACTATTATTATTACTATTTAACTCAGTTCCCCTTCCATGTCTTCCCAGCCATGTTGTTCACTTATTTTTAGCAGCTCTCCAGCAAGTGGTGGCCACAGGATTTATTCTCTTGGTGCTTCACCCTGGTTTCAGAACTGCTGTATAATGTGGTTCTTAAATAGGAAGAATGGAGAATATATCATATATCCTGGGAACAGGAAAGGCAAGGAAAAAAAAAAAAGAGAATTGTGACCACAGACAAAATTGGAGCTGTTCTCTGGTTTTGCTGTCTTCTAAGCCTTTACATACTTAAGTCTAAGAAGCTGTTGCAGTCCAGGTGTAGAGTGGAATTTCTGATCCAAATGAAAACTGGCAAGGTGAACAGAAATTGAGGAAACAATGTTTTAAACAAAACAACCAAAGAAAGGTTGTGAATTCTGTGGATAACTTTGTCATCAAACACAGTTTCTAGGTTTCTCAGTGTGTAGGTTTTCAAGGTGCTTGTTTTGGCAGTTTATCTTTAATCAACTCTGTCGTACAGTGGTCCAATTTACAGTATGACCTCACGCACATTTATACCAGCACAACTAATGTAACAGCAAACTGCCCTGAAGAATGGGAATGAGTGACCCAAGCAGGAACTTTTTGAAGCACTTTCAGTGCTGAAGACAGAAGCTTGGACACCAGTCTTGCTATTACCTGAGGGCTGCTGGTATTTTGACTTACTGTAGAGTAGTCTGGAACTCCCGTTTCCTTGTCTGTTCTTGAAGACCTTGTCTTTTTTTTGTCTTGGCAGGGTGTTAATGGAGCTGTTCAGTACCCAAGAAGTTTCTTAAAGGGAGCTTATCAGCTAGTACGGGAAAGAGGGGGTGTTTGTATTTCAGATGAAGTGAGTTGGTTTTTTATATTAGAACTCTATAGAGTTTGGAGTACCTCTGAAAGTTGTCTGTAATGAATCCAAATGAAGGCAAACTGGAAGCCTGGAAAGAATCTAATTGAAATGCTGTACACTTCATAGCTTAAGTTTAACACAGCGCACCTTTCCAAGCGTAGGAGCCTCACAGTTTTTACTGCCTTTATTCTGCTATGTGGTATTTTGATTTTAGACATAGCTAATATTAGTAGCAGAATAACAGTCCTTACCTTCTGGGAGCAGTAAATTTACCAAATATGCAGCTAATAAATGCCAACTGTGATGTAAGGTGTGTCACAGTAGCACTTTCTGTTATGAGTGTTGTTGGCATACATAAACTCCAGAAGGGACTTGATTGCTGTACCTCTGCAAATACATTTTATAAATAGAATTTGCTTAGCTAAAGCTATTTTGAAATATTAGCAAGCGCTTCAAAGTGACAATGATGCATACCTCAAGCATTGCAGTAGTAGAAAACAGCAATCATGGTGTTGCTTTTGAATGTGATAAGCAACTGCATTTCCTCTGCATTTTGAAAAGGAAGCTGCAGCTTATTTGTGCATCTCACCACGCCTAAGATGTGGTGACATATTATCTCTTTCACATGTGAAAGAAAAACCCAATTACAATAAATAGTATTTTGTGCAAAGCCATGTGAATAAGGATCCTAATGCAAGTTGACTCCAGATGTAGTTGTAGTTTAATGCAAATCAGTACCAATAGAAAGAGAAGAAAAAGAAACCATATTGTAAAATGTGAGAAGGTGATGGGGATTTCTTTGTATTCTTCTTTTGAAAGGTACAGACAGGATTTGGACGGACAGGCAGCCATTTCTGGGGATTTCAAACACATGATGTAGTCCCTGACATAGTTACTTTGGCTAAAGGAATTGGTAATGGCTTTCCAATGGCAGCTGTTGTTACAACAAAAGGTAAGTGTTCTGTTCTGCTAAGATTTAAAATAAAGCAATTACAAAATATGCTGTACAACAATTACTGGAAAGATATGTGTTCACCCAGCTGAGCTTTATTACTAATCTTCGTCTCTATCTTTTGACAAATCGATTCTCATTCCTCATTTGTTTTATGAAGTGCTGTGCTATACCAGTGCAAAGATTTATTGAAATGGGGTTAGTTGTGTAACTAAAGCAGGGATGGCCTTGTGAGTCATTGGTAGAGCCAGTAAGAGATCCTGGAAATCCTCACTGGATTCACTGTTTCACTAATCAATGTACCACGAGCGTAAAAGGCAGCATGATTCATACAAATGACTGGCTGAATCTAGTGAAGAAAATTTGTAGATGTCAGTTGAAGAGGACAGCTTACAGCACATGTTAGAAGTGGGACTTTAAAAAAAAAAAGTCTGCTTTTAGTATCTGCTAGACACTATAGTTTTCAGAAATAGTGATATTTTGCACAGACTACTTGCAGAAAAAATATTAAATCTTCCTATTATGTTGTCTCTAGTAGAGTAAGGGTTGTAGCACAGCAAATTTAACTTAACAGTTGAGTTAAAGCAGGTAAGTACTGTTACCAAACATAAGACAACTGTAAGAGTAATCAGTGTTGTTCTTTTTTTCTTTTAGAGATTGCAAGTTCCTTGGCTCAAAACCTTCACTTTAATACATTTGGAGGAAGCCCTTTGGCCTGCGTAGTTGGAGCTGCAGTTCTTGATGTAGGGAGAACGTTATATAAATTTATGTAGTCCACATTTTTTCTTGTAGCAAAAGATGAAAAATGTTTACATTTATTCTTACTATAAAGTTATATGTGGGCCATTCTTTAAATAACTGTATAAAATACATAAACGTATGCATGGATTATTCATACGTGGCCAATATGCTCTATGTGTAGGAAGAATTCCTGATTAGTTCCATTGCAAAAATTTTCATCCTTCTAGCAAGCATAGGAGTCGTCTAATTATGTTTTTTAGAATAATCTTTTTTAGTCTCCCTTACATTCTTTACTTTGTTAATAAAAATGTAGAAAAGCACTTTCTCAAAAGCCTTAGCTAACTCTTTCATAGGACTATGCAAATCCTCAGCTAAACCAAATTTATTGTCTGGCATGCATGCTTAACAGAATTGTTTTAACTCCACAGCTTTTACCTTATGCCTAAAAAGACTTAAGGACCAGATAGTTAAAAATATTTAAGGTCAGAATTCCTTTTGAAAAAAAAATTGTCTCATGAAAAAGACAATAGAAAAATCTGCAACGTTTCACTTACTAGCCAGAAGACAATCAGTCAGTGGGCAGTAGGTTGCTATTGAATTTGTCTTGATCATGTACAGACCATTTGTCCTTGAATTTCATTCCATTACAGCAGACACTGTTTCTATTCATGTTACTTTACTGAGTGTTTTGGGGTTTTTTCCAAGCTATTTTATAAGATGGCTGATCAGATAAATAAAAAGATTTAAAAAAAACAATTTACAAAGAAGAAAGTCTGAACCCATGTTTTGGGGTTTTTTGGCTCTGAAGTAACTTGGAGCCTGGATCTGAAATAAGTCTAAGGAGGTTGTCAGAGTCAGGAAGAATAAAATGGAGTTGAAACAAAAGGGGAAAAAAAAACAAAATAAAAAGGAGAAACACCCACTTTAACTTCTGTTGTTGTATTTTTGGTTTTTATGTGAATTTTCTTAATGCAAATATTAAGTTCATAAAATGGCTTGTTGTCAGCTGGTTGCATGTCAGAACTTTGAGTAAGGAGAGCAGAGTAAGGAACCAAAAAAAATATTGTGATTAAAAAGCATGGTGTTGATGAATTTAATTAAATCACTCAAGTTGTTCCCTGAAAGACTGCCTAGTACACACAGGTATGCCTTGTCAAATTATATTCTTCTTGTGACACGAGAAAGATTTAAAATGTTTCTGGTAAGATTTTGAAAATAATCCTGCTGGTCAGGTATTTTTCAGTTATGACTACATGTGAGCATGAATTACTGGATTATGTATAATAAGTGAAAATGTGAAAAATGCCACAGCAACACCAAAATATTATGTTCGGTTGTACTCTGATGCCATTAGAGGATTGTAAGAGAAGAAAAATATAAGGACTGTAGTAGTGAAGAAGCATAGTCTGCAAGGAAGTGAGATAAACATAACGTGTCATTGAGCTAAATGGGGATTAACTGACTGTGTTGGAAGCTTTTCCTGCAACACTCATATTACATCATTTTAACCAGGCTATTGAAGAAGATGGTCTACAAAAAAATAGTGAGGACGTGGGAACGTATATGCTACTCGAGTTGGCTAAACTACGGGATAAATTCGAGATTGTTGGAGATGTCCGTGGCAAGGGACTTATGATTGGAGTAGAAATGGTGACAGATAAGGTTAGTGATTTAGTTTATTATACTTTGCAATTTACAGTGCAACTGAAAGTTTTATCACATTTTATTTCAGTTGAAATAATAGATTTTCTATTAAAAAACAGCTAGTGCAGTGAGAAAATACTGCTCTGGCTAAAAATGAGCCAGAACATTCCAGCATTTCAAATATTTCACAAGCTTTTGAGTAAACAGTGACTTGTGTACCTTAATTACATAAACTCACCTTAGAAAGCAGATAAATTATGCAGCTAATGTTTTCAGCCAGAGGTGGGGGTGGGATTTATTGGAGATACTGGAATATACATCTTTTTCATAGAACTTATTCAGAATATCTAAGTGAAGTTTAATGTTCACTTTCCTTAGGATAGTCGCCAGCCTCTTCCAGCTGAAGAAATCAATCAGATCTGGGAGGACTGTAAAGACATGGGGGTTCTGATCGGCAGAGGAGGACTCTACAGTCAGGTACTGAACTTCTGGCTATACATAAAAGCTTATTTTCTCTCCTTGTGAACTACATCCTGTTTCCCTCAAGCTAAATTAACTTTAGTTTATTTACTAAACTAGAAAATGTATACTCTTAGGAACTATCTCTGTTTAATTTTGCTTATTTTATAAATCAGGCAGGAGCCATTTGATTCTTTTAAAGTATCATACAATGGTTTGGGTTGGAAGGGACCTCAAAGATCATCTAGTTCCAACCCCCCTGCCATGGGCAGGGACACCCTCCACTAGACCAGGTTGCCCAAAGCCTCATTGAACCTGGTCTTGAACACTTCCAGGGATGGGGCATCCACAGCTTCTCTGGGCAACCTGTGCCAGTGCCTCACCACCCTCACAGGGAAGAATTTCTTTCTAACATCTAATCTAAATCGACCCTCCTTCAGCTTAAACCCATTCCCCCTTGCCCTGTCACTACACTCCCTGATAAACAGTCCCTCACCATCTGGGATATGATGACAGAAAAATTTAAACCGAAAGTTTAAGGTTCTTATGGAAGTTAAATACTCTTAGAAACATTGTAATTTAGATCAAACATTTGGATTGACTAATCTAAGTTCTTGACAAGTTAAACTGTGCATATATCACTCCCCAACCAACATGCATTCAAGCTATAGTACTCTAACTGAAAGTTACCATTTAGTGATTCTTTGATAATACGTTCTCTTAGAAGCCCTAAAAAAAAGCCTGTAATATAACAGTAAATCAGCTGACACAGTGCAAGAGGCTGCCACTCTCATACTACTACTAGTATGCCTAGTACTAGGCATACTACTTTTCCCTGTGGCAACGCTGCCAGAAAGGAAAATACACCTACGTCTCTGTTCTTTCTTAGCACAAACCCATCTGAGGTTTTACACTAGCTCTATCTGGAATAACAGAGCTGCAAACATAATCTACTCTAGTCAGGTCTCTTTTGGAGGTAGCTGCTTTGTCACAAGAGTGGAGGGGATGTGGTCAAGTCCAAAATTGCTCCACTTAACACTGCATTTATCAGTCCCTGCTCTGATGTTCTCCTATATGTTATTTTTCACAGTTTTGGTTAGATTTTTTGGGGCAGAAAGTGATTGCCAGTCTAGATGGGCTGCTATAAACTGTATTCTTCCCATACAAGTTTAATGATTTCTTTTTTCTTTTCTTTCTCCTCAGACATTTAGAATTAAACCTCCTATGTGCATTACTAAAAAGGATGTCGACTTTGCTGTGGAAGTATTTCATTCTGCTTTACAGAGACACATGGAAAGAGCAGCTGCAAAATAGATTTGATTTGTTTCACAGAACCCCAGATACTTGCCACCCAGGCTCTGCACTAATCTACACTGGCTAAGAAAAGTATTGTCTGAAGATGAAATGTTTGTTCAGTATCGTAACAGCAGTCTGACAGATCCAGTGTTTAATATAAAGAACACACTCTAATCTGTTTTGTAAACATAGAGTTCAGTTCTACAGTGGTGTCTTGTATTAGCTGCACACCTGTTATAGCATTAGCATAAAACCCCCTGATTTGATTAACTGGGTATCACATGAAGAGGCAGACACATATTCATCTCTCATCTATGAAAAACAAAACAACAAAAACATACTCATGACAAAATTGGTAATTGTTAGAGTGACAGCAAATTAATAAAGTTGTTTTGGGGAAGTACCTGCTGTTTGGACTTTGTACCCTTGGGGTGGATGCAGCGCTGCTGTGGCCATCTTCCTTTGTGCCGCAGCATTTCCTGTTGGTTCTGAAATGTGTTTTCAGAGAAGCGCACAAGCTTTTGGCGTGCAGTGGGTCTGGTGCAGGGCACTCCCGCACTGCCTCCCACAGCCGTCAGCGCTGCTGCTGCCCACACCACCACTACCAAAACCTTGCCATTTATATCCAATACATACAAGCATTTGTAAAACACACAAATGATAAAGTATTTGTTTTTATTTAAATAAGGAGAAAAAAATAAATCAAAAAGTAATAAATGCAGGGTTCAGTCTGCGATATTTCACTTACATTAACATAGTCAGTCTCTGGTCGAGAACCACCCTGAGCAGAACATAACTGGAGGTTTCAAACAAGAGTTAAAATTCTTTACCCTTACTACAAGGATATGCAGTAGTAGAGCATAAAAAAAAAAAAAAAGGTTTGCACAAAGTTAAAAAGTTTCTAATTACAGAAATTGTTATCATGGGGCTCTAATCCAGTCATCATCCTCTCCAAAATATGCTTTTCCTTTCCTCCTGCAGCTTTTGGGATTGCACAATACACCCCTAAGCCATTTAGCAGATACAAACCCTGGCTGGTGAAATAAGATACCATGTTTCCTTCTTACATTACTTTTCAAAAATTTTTAGTTCATTCCTTCAGTTTCCAACAAAAAAAAAAAAAAAAAGACATTGTGGACAGTCATCACGAACTGTACAATCATCATTTTACTTTCATTCAAATTTTAACATTTGAATTATTCCTTGACCCAATTAAGGTACCATATCAGCTTGTGGGGGAAGGAGAGAATTCTGCCATTTTGTGTGATGAGTTGAAACTTCAGAGGGACTTAAATAATGCAAGATCAGTGCTTCTGCAAAATTGCACTCCAGAGGTTTCCTAAACAACATACCACAGCCCCTGCTGAGCACTGCCTTCTCCAGCTGCACTGACAACTCCTGTGTAAAATCCCCTTCCACTCCAAAATCGAGTGTTTCTTATCCCACTTTTTTTTTTTTTTAAAGTGCTACTCAAGATCAGGTAGATGATGCATTTAAACAGAGGTGCAATACCAACTCCTATGTTGTTTTTCATTGGAAATCAGAAGAAATTAATTTCGTGTCACTCATTCATCCAGTTATTCAAGCAAGGCTGTTCCACAAGACAGACTTTTTTTCCGACACCTGACATGCAGGTAGATGTACAAAACCAGCAG